TGGCTTCTAACCTCCTACTTGTCTGTAATGACCAACGTTTGCCTGAATTATCAAGTTCAACGGACTTGCTTAAGTCCTTAATGTCTTCCACCTCTCTATTGTGTTCTATTCTATTCTATTTCTAGAAACTTTCTTTTTTCCTGCTTGTGGTTCTCCCTCTCAGGCAGCTGTCAGTCTCCTTTGAAGGACTCTTCTCATTCCTGGTTCTATTCTTAGTCACCTTTATTCTCATGTGGTACCAAATCCATACTGAAACCTTCACATACTAAGTGTGTTGAAGAGTTCCAAACCTCTACCGCCAGTCCCTACTTCTTCTTGAGTTTCGGATCCATAAATCCATTTACCCGAGTGTCTCTTGATCTTCATGTCACAGAGATATTTCAAACTCAATATTGTCTCCCTACCACCAAACTGCTCCTACTTACGTCACCTTCCATACTGGAAACCAAGGAGCCATCAGAGCCTCTTCCCTCATTTGCTAGTCTACGTCTTATACTCGCCAAATTTATTTTCTATACCTCTCAAGTATATATATTTCTATACCTTTCTGTATTTATTATTGTGTCTTACTTCTGACCTTCATTTCTTTCCTAATTCATCTGTAGGTGGTAGACTTGACTCTCTTCAATTCCTTCAAACTGCCGAGTGTGATTTTAAATGAAGCACCTATTGTTACTTCAAATTTTCTTTTCCATAAATATAAAACATACTTCAGTCAGATGAGGTGGTGTATGCCTGTAATTCCAGCTACTAGCGAGGGTGAGGCAAGAGGATCACAAGTTTGAAGCTAGCCTTGGCAATTTGGTGAGACCCTTTTTCAAAATAGAGATGTAGCTCAGTGGTGGAACACCCATGTTTCAATTCCCAGTAATGCAACAAGCAAAATACTCAACTTATCCTTCTTGATATTGCATATGGAACCATTCATACCCCACTACATAATCTAAATGTAGTTCTCCAGCTTCAGTTGAATAATACTCCCCCCCACACACACACTTCCTTGTATGTTCTAGCTGTTCTGAACCTTTTACCATGCTTTCTTGGGCTTTTGTCTTTGAATGCCCTTCCTCCTCTTCTTTTGGTCTGCATTTATCCTCCCAATTTCAATTCAGCAATCACTAACTGTGGCATACTTTCCAACGCTGGTCCATCCCCCTCCCATCCCAGTGATTTCTGTCCTTGCCACCACTCCTGTTTCTACTTTATCCTTCCTTCTGGGGCCAGAGCGTAAACCTTTATCATGGACCTGCTCACACTGTACTGCTATTGTATCTTTGCTTTCTACCTTCCTCACCAAGTGGGAATTCCTCTTGTCTCATTCCTATTTCTGTCAACCCAAGTCTAGCAAGTGCTTGGTATCTAGCAGATTTTCTCTATTTACTGACAAAAATGACTGAGTGAATGGAAATTCAGAAAATTTAAATCTTACTTTTCTCACTAACATAAGGGAAAAACTATGCTGACAAGAGAAAAACTGGGCATCAAACAAGAATGCAATGTTTAGCATCAACTGTTTATGAGGGAAAGAACTTGTATAACTCAAATGATACAAATTCAAATGAATCTAAGTTACATGTTTAAGAAATTTAAAAAGCTTCTGATGGAGGTAGAAGTTAAGGGTGGGGGGGCAGGTAACAGTACTGACTGGAAAACTCCTATATTAAACAACAAAATAAGTTTGTTTGTACAAAATTTTTGCCTTTTACCTCATTTCTTTTTTTGGTCAGAGATCCCTTTGAGCACCATGGTTTCTACCTACAAAATGCAAAACCAAGATAATAATGATTTCTCTAAACATTCTTTTCACTAATTATTGTTCATGCTGGAGGATTTCTATATTGGCCTTTTACCCTGTAAGTCCTGAGTGCTTGTCCTTTTATTTATGTGTCTAATTTCACTGCATGTTCTGTAAAGACAGGAGCCAGGTAAAAGTTCTGTCCTTCTCTGCCCTGTCAAATATTCAAAGTGCTTCTTAGCTCCTGAGATGGATTGGGGTAATAATAGCTAACACTCATGTGTACTTACTACCTACCATGCATTACTCTCAGCATCCAACCTTTTTCTCACAATTACCCATGGTAGCTATTACTGCCCAGATGAGGAAACTGAAGCACAGAGGGATTAAGTAACTGAACTTCTCAGGATTATGTTATCTAAGACACTGGAACACTGGCAATTGGTTGGCCTTCTTTAGTACTGCACTGCTTTACCTCAAGTATTTAGCAGATTGCCTATCAATTGTTTCTTTATTTCTTATTGTTTTCTTCTGGTGCTGGGGAGACAATCCAGGGCCTTGAACATGGTAGGTGGGCAAAGCACTATACCATTGAGCTACACCTCCAAACCAACTGGGCTGTTTTAACAGAGGCTGACTTCTACCATGCCAATAAAAGGAAAATAGCTCCATTTTATTTAAAAACTATGATTTTTCTTCCTTTCCTTTTTTTGGCTTCATTGGTTTTAGTCTGCTGTTCATTCCATCTACATCAGCCTCCATTCCAGCTTTTCATTACCACTAAAGTAATATATCTTACACTAGTCAGTTTCCTTCCATATTTTTATCTATACTCAGTTAATCCTACATGGGGGTGATGCAGACACACACACACACCAAGGAGATGGGAATTTTCTCAGAAATGCAATACTTTCAAAATTTTTGCATCTTGTTTCTTTCACAGAACAATGACTTCTAGAAATCCCTCTAACTCACTGGTATACATTTAGTGCATCCTTCCTAATGGTTGCTCACTCATTCATCCACAGTAGAGATATATCATAATTGTCAAACCACTCTCCTCATGAACTGTGTTCACTTTCTTCCCAGTTGTTTAACTCTCAACATAATGCTGTCTTTAATACATGGTAACCCACTAGAAATACCAGTGGGGAAGCCAGGGGTGGTGGTACATGCCTGTAATCCCAGCAACTTGGGAGGCTGAGGCAAGAGGATCACAAGTTTGAGGCCAACCTCGGCAACTTAGAGAGACCCCAAGCAACTCAGTGAAAAAATATAAAAGGGCTGGGGATGTGGCTCAATGGTTAAGCACCCCTGGGTTCAATCCTTGGTACATACATACAGACAGATAGATAAATTCCAGTGGGGAATGAGGAGCAGTAGGCTGAGTTTCTGGAAAGAAGCATCTTTGCATCTGGTCTTCCTGAATTCTTGGGCAGCAGAAGTTTTTCATCTTTTCCTCTGCCAGTTTGGGTCAGGGAAAATGACACATGTTGGTGGGGCCAATAACAAATTTCCCTTCAGGAGCCCATGGATTTGAAAGTCAAAGCCTTCTTGGCATCTGTGAGTCTTGTCTCTTTGCCCATCAACAATAGCCAACCCACTAGGAGCAATCCCTGTCTTGATTTTCTCTGTCAAGATCCCACTTGAAAGTAAGGCCTCCGGCTGGGGTTGTGGCCCAGTGGTAGAGCGCTTGCCTAGCACGTGCAGGGTGTGGGATTAGATCCTCAGCACCACATAAAAATAAAATAAAGGTATTGTGTTGAACTATAACTAAAAACAAAATATTTTTTTTTTTAAAAGAAAGTAAGTAAGGCCTCATCCACACCCAGTAGCCAAATGGAGGGAAAAAAGAAAGATACTCTCAGGTTCAATGTTCCCAGAATCTACTCCATGTTCACCTAATAATTTAATGCACTGCTACAAAACCTACCTAAAACACTGATGCCAAACAAAGCTGTTCTACTACATATTTAAAGTGGGAAGATGATGACACAAAACCAGGTACTTCATTTAAAATCAGAGTAACAAACTGAGAACATTTAATATTCCCTATCTACCTGTCAAGGTGAACTTAGGATGGGACTCTAAGAGATAAAAAGTATTGAACAGGTCATGCTTCAAAACAGTGATACAGAAAATGATTTCATTAGTAACCAACACAGAATCAAGGAGTTCTCTGTGGCCTTTACTACGTTATCTTAATGATGAATTTTACGTATTCTAGGATAAATATCCTTAAAGTGTATCATTATACTTCTATACCCACTCTAAGAATTTTATAATTTACAAATTATTCTTTTGGTTTAGTACATATTCAATGTACTTTTCTATTCAACATTACTGCATATTTTATGATGTTCAAATTTCCTACCCAGCATACTACCTTACAGAATACCCAGTCACTTTTTAAGACAGTGGAATTAGTAATTATTCATTCTAGATAATCAACTTTGTTAAAACTTGGCAGAATGATTAAACATAGTTACCACATACAAATACCTTGTTTAACATTACCATGAACATAATGCTATGCTTAAAAATATTCAGTATTAAAGTCATAATTATTACACACGTTCTCCATACTTAAGAGTGCTGACATGCACTCTAGATCAACCAAGGAGGTTGTACTAGACAAGTACAAGACAGTACAAGACAGTACTGCAGCCTTGGATGACGGGCACACTGCAATGCCCACATGCTTCTCTAAAGAGGACACCATTGCACCACCCCAGCTGGAGGCAGTCTGCAGCATGAGGTTACTCCTCTGTTTTGGCAGGCAGTTCTGACCTCAAATGGATAACAAAAGGCGGGCAACGATATTGGATCTAATACAAATAAGCCAAATAGTATTATTCTGGTTGCTAAGATGAAAGTTTTATGGAAGCTGGAATGTGTCTTCAAGGAAATAGTAATAAAAATGAGACAGAAATCAACAAGAAAATTAGAATGGTGAAAAGTCCTCTGCCTTTATGAAAGCATGAATATCACCATGGCCTAGGAAAAATGACTAACAATTATTGGAATGGCAAGTGACATGTAAAGAATACGAGTACTGGTAGAAAAACCCTGAAGAGTAAGTATTGACTTAAGACACCTTAATCATTTCTCTACAGGGCCTCTGCCATAATCATAACCACCCCACAGAGGGTCCATTATCAGCATTCTCATTTTTAAGAGCACATCCCTCCTTTCCCTTGAATTGTTCCCTCCCATGGGACATGTCTCTATATCCATGGGAAAGAAAGAGAGGAGAGAAGGAAAATAAAATATTACTTTTTATTTTCTCAGGCACACAAGTGATTTGGGATACCAATTATTCAAGACATTTGCTGATTTCACATTTAGAACTTTCTACTTTCAATCTTCAGCCACCTTTGAAAATAATTTGCAGCAATCACTTTGTAGTTCAGAAGTACCAAGTTATAATTGAGTTGTGGAATAAGTTAAAAGTTTATGTTAAATGTGTGAGCTTATTGACTCCTGAGTTTTAAATATCCTGTGAAACAGTGATTCTTTTCCCTTTTTAAATGGCTTTTCAGTTTAAAGCAATGACCTTAAAGCAAATTATATATTAAAAACTTTATTACAACAGAAATCAGCAACATCCGATCTAAAATCTGGACAATATAATACTGACCATCACTCTGAGACAGTCAATAGCCTCTGGCTGAAACAAAATTCTACCACTAAGGCTATCAACCTGGGTCAGACCTTTGTTCCTGAGGGCAGTACAATCATCTTTTTCTCTGCAAAATGAATGGCATGATTTACCATAACATAACCAACCTGGAACATACCTAGTGACTTTCTCAAGCATTCTAAAGACAGCTTCACAGCTTACAAATATTGACAAATTTAAGTCACAGCACTCTCTCCCCAAGAGTAGTCCAATTCAGCACTGCACATCGACAAACAGCAATGCTGGGGATATATGCTACTTTAACCAGTTAGCTGAGTTATATAAAGGGCAAATAGGAGTAATGACTGAACTTAATCACCTCACAGGGAGGAAGGAATCTATTAGTTGTATACCTAATTCTATTCAAAGCCACCTTAGAAAGGTTTGTAGCTGGTTACATAATGCATCAGGGGCAAGTATGGCTGGCATTGAATAAATCCAGTCTCTTCTGAACATAAACTCAAAATGCAGATTCTAATGATGGAGATTTGGTTATATTATTTTTGCAAAACAAGGAGTACAAATTTCAAGTTGTTGCACATCAGATAATCCAATAGAAATGGACATGAAAACAGTAAATTATATATACGTTTTTAAAAGGAGGTGCTATTAAAGTAATGTACATGACAAAATTTGGCAAAATGTAAACAAAATTATCAATAAACCAGAATATGGAAAACTTATGGAAAAGCCCAAACAATTAAAGATAAAAACATACCATTCATCAGATTTGGAAATTAGATGGATCATATGCTCTTTAAAATGAGTATAAAGCATTTTTCATTATAAAGCATTTTCATTTCTACAAATACATGTGACTGGAAACATTTAATACATATATAATGACTGGAGACAATATTTGTGCAACATTAAAGTATTCTCTAGAAACGTGTTGCTGCCATGTCTGGGACGCAGCATTAAAGACACAGTGAATAAGGCATGGTGATGCTTTGCACAACTGATAATGAGTATAACCCAAACACCCAGCAACCAAATCTACCTGTCAAATAGCTTGACCGTGAGGGGGTTGCTGTTTTCTTAGAGGCTGCAAATACTAAAGGGGAACTGCAGCTATAGATCAGTATTTTAGAAACAGTCAATTCATACTGTTTTAAGAAAAAATGAATGATTTATTATATAAAATGATTGGCAGAATACAGAAAAATTATTTCTTTTACCTTTACATATTTAATACAAGTACCAAGCAAAGTATAACATTTTAAAGAACCCACTACAAACTACCAAAAGGTACTCAATTTTGGTGAAGTTTTCAAGTCACAAATACTAAAAGTAAATAAATGTACTTCAAAATACATGAAGTATAAAACAAGTATGGAAACAGTGATCTTCAGTAATGGTTCCTTTAACCAAAATTAACCAACAAGCAAAGATGCACAAGAAAAACACTGCCATGTCAGACAGAAAAGAATAAATAAAATATATTGTTCACTGGAATTGTTGAGCTAAACTCAATTTTTTTTAAAAACGTAAATAAGCATTAGGACTCAAAAGAAGAATAAGGATATTTCAATATTTATATAATTTTTTTTCTACCAATAATAGAAGGAAGGATTTGGAGGCCAATCAAGTGCTGAGATCTAAGTGCCTCTCAGAATATTGTGCAACTGAAGTCTTCTACCATTACTTAAAGATAATTTACTCATTATGAAGGAAAGAAAAACAATTATAATGAATAGGGCAAAAAAAAACCTTATGATTAAATTCTTCTCTAGCATAGGAATATAATAATTTGTTTTCAAATAATTACTTTGTATTTTAATTAATCAGGGCAAAGGTGTCACCCTAATTAATAGGCAAATGAGAGATCTCTGATAAGTCAAATATTCATAGCCAAAAAAGAGCTACCTACTGGAAAATTTGCACTAATATCTAAAATCTCATTTGTAAATAAACTAATCATTAAGTTTACAATTAAATTACTTTAAAATAGAGGTGACTGATGAATGTTGCACGTCATATGAATCATATGCTGAATTATTGTGTCAATAATCATAAGTGCTACTAATAAATATATTAATTCATGCTACAAGAGAAAGAATTGAGACACTTAATTTCACATTTCAGAATTCCTGAGTCTTATCAGAGAAAAACATGTACTAAAACAAAACAAAATAAACTTACCTATAATAGGGCAAATAACACAAATCTGGGAATTAAGTTACTATTATATTTAGAGTTCTAAAGCTGAAAACTATGAGACAGATATATAAGTACTTCCATGGAACTATAAAGATGATTTTAAAGCTTGATTTTTAAAAAATGCTAAACAAGGCCACCTGAGTGACATCTTCAATGATGGCAAGCCCACCATTTTAAAGGAATAATATTTTTATTTCAAAGCCTAATTATTATTATAAAAAGGAAAAACGTCTATTTTAATAAATGTTTTAGTAAGATTGCAATGGGACAGCCCTTTGATGGAAGATCTAAGGAGGGTACAGCCAATGTAATCAAACTAGAACATGAGTTCTAATTTTCAGCCACCACCCACTAAATAATTTCCCTTTTGCTTTGCATATTACACAGTGAAAATAAAAAGATTATTTTAAGAGCACTTCAGTCCCACAATGTAGGATTTAAGCTTGTGTGAAAAGGTGTAAATGACCCTGCAATAATGTGATGCTTGCAAAAATACATTCAACTGAAAATTAATGTCTTTTTTCTAACACAGAAAAGGAAAACAAAATGGTCCCACTTAACACAACAAAAAAAACACTGTTTATTCTTTCTGGAAAGACTAAGCAAAGAACATCCAATAATATTACACATTTAAGACTGCATACTTTAACTCAGCTTTATAAGTAAAGAAGATGTATACTTTATAAATAAAGACACTAAGCAGAAAAAATATTTGGGTTATTTCTCTGTTCATAAGTACCCAGAAATAAAATAATTAAAAAACACTAAAGTGCAGACCTATAGGCCATTACAGGCATGAGAAAGAGGTGCAGCCAAAATTGCATCTACATTTACACTTACATATCCAGAAAATGATTCTTGCTTTTTAAAAAAACTGTGCAATTAAAAACTAGTCAGTTTTGTTTGTGCCGTAATACAAATAGAACTTGTCTCTGCCCACTAGGGAAGTGACTGTTAGACCTTGGACAGCACAATAGGCTCTTGACAATCATACATTTCTTTAGAATCATACAATATTGATTCCACCTCCAGAAAATGTTAGGGTCCTCTTGCTGTAGAATGAAGAGCCACTCGAATTTGGTTGATTGCCTTTAACCAGAGAGGTTTTCAGTTCCATTTCGCAAGCTACAATAGCTGCATTCAATTCCACTTGAGCTCGGTGAACTACATAAAACATGAGGCCTATACTTATAATAATCTGTGAATGAAAATAAAATATTAGTTATCAATATTATATACAGAAAAAAAGAAATAATATATATTTGGCTTAGAAATGCTTCATACAGAATGCTTCTTAAATGTGGTAGGTAAGAGGTTACATATTTCAAACGGCTAACAATCAGTTATTAATTCTCCCTTCTCCCAGGAATGGAAGGCCAAAATCTATAAATAATCATTATATGGTATCACGTAAACATACAGCAAATACACATCCCTTTGGTACACATAATGATGTGTGTTTGATATAAGTCAAACTTGTCTCTTGTACCAAAAAGCTTCCTTGGAAGGAACAATGATGACAACAACAACAACAACAAAATATGTCTACAATAGACAACAGCTGGCTAAACTTTACTGGTGTAACTAACGTGGTATTATGTATATCAGCACAACTTTAAATGTCTACCAGCGTTTCCAACCTTACTTAGAAGCACTGCCATTTTAAAAAGAACTAATTTGTGGAAACAAAATTAAAAGTATTAAGCACCACATAAAAAACTGAAAGGCCAATAAACTTCAAAAGAAAGTAACAAGATATTGGGAGCATGAAAATGTATTAAGGAAAAAGGAAAACATAATGATAAGAAAAAAAGGCAACCAAAGGGATACAGGCAAAGCATCAATCTGATAAAACTGAGTCAGTTTCTAGTCTTGGTTTAACTAACTAGTGATGTGATTTCAGGAAAGTCCCTTAAAATATTTGTGCTTAAATTTCCCATTGTTCGAGAGGAATTCGGTTCACCAGAAGATCTAAGCATTCCATATATTCTCAATGATTTTTATTCCAAAGTTCGTTTGTAAACCAGTTGGAACTGGTGTTATTTACAAAGTCTGTTCTAACCAAAAATGACCCCATAATATAACAGTTTCAATCAAATCTATCATAATTATTAACTCTATGGAAAAAACCCCTCTAAATCCAAGTGTTGAAGATGGTGGGGAAGGGAGGGATAGAAGCAGATGGGATAGAAATGGGGATGAGATAGGGGAAGAGAAACCTGAAACTTATGCAAGGGAGTACCAATCCGTTACTCAATAAAATCCTAAGTAACTTAGGTATTATTAAATGGGTTTTTATATCTTGCAATTGTTCTGTTAGTCCTCTTAATAAAAATAAGATACTTACTGAAAACTCGTAAGATTGACACTTATGAGTGGATGATAATACCATGTGAAGAGATGAAGCAAATGTTAAGAAAATGAATTGTGTGTGAATGAATGCTAAGTTCTATTTCAGATATGTTGAATTTAAGGTAACTCTGAGACATCTAGAAAAATTCAGGGAACAAGTCTGAACCTATAGAAAGAAGGCTGAATAAAGATGTGTCCAGAGGCAGAGAAGAGGGGTTTTCTTTATACAAATAAATACATTAACAGCCACCATAGTAATTAGATTTGTCAAGGAAAAAAAAAAGTTTTTGGTGTGAGACAAGAAAGCTTAGTCTAGAAACTTGAGAAACATGGATTTAGGAGGTAAAGACAAACGTAAGCCAGGTAAGGGTAGGGTGGGACAGGTGGGACAAGATAATGTACCAAAGTAAAGGAAAGGAAGTTTTACTAATGAAGGCATGGTCAACAGAGTTTTAGGTTGCTAAAAGGTCAAGCTAGATTACAAATGGAAAGTGGATCTGAATTAGATGAGCTTAGTGATGACTTCAGAAATAGTGGTTTGAAGGGAGGACATGGCAGGGCCAGAGTTTAAATTCAAAACAAGTGAACAACTTTCTCAGGCTTCCAGCAAGCATGAACTGGGTACATCCATACACAGATATTTCACCATCTGCCCTTCTGGATCCTTGGTCCTAACAATCTGTACCGACTATTCAACATGCCTTCATTTCCTCCTTAGCCTAGTGAGGTGTTAACAAAAAGAAAATAAAAACATCAGTAAAAATGTAGTCTAGAAATATTTCTAAATGTTTCTTTACGCAAATGAAAGAACCAAACATAGGCAGAAGGACAAGCCTCTTTCAGAAAGCCAGGCACCTCTTCTACTATTAACTGGAAAGTAGGCCAAAAGTATGGGCAGGAGCACAAGGAGAATAGATTTCTCAAATGGAAACTGAGATGTTTGCCACTGGAAAGTGTCTGATTTTTCTATTAAAGAAGTAAAGAAGTAATCTGTTGGGAATGAAAAGGGAAGTAATAAAAATTATGAGGAGAATGAAGATAGCTAGAAATAGTCAACCTATTTCAGGGCAACAGCAGAAGAGTGAGAAGACAAAGGAAATGGGGATATAGGATAGTGTTGAGAAACCAAGTGAAAATTTACAACCATGAATTAAATATTATCCATCTGTTTGGCTGTATGATTTTGTTCTCAAAAGAATAGGTGCAAAGTAGACCAAACTTGGACTTATTTAGGATTGAGGTTTTGACTGGTGGCAACACAGAAAAATAAAGGGCATGGAAAAGAGTGATTAAAGAGTTAAACTGCGATCTAAGTTGGATATCAGTATAAGAATAGCTGTGGATTCCCCTGAATGTCTATTTTGTTTGCCTCCAAAATTCTACTGACACTGTAGATTCTTTTTAGATTGGTGGCTATAAAGCTCAGATGCAAATCTGTGGCTCATTTCTAATAAATAAGAACCTCATGAATACACTTACCCTACTAACTTTTAGCTAAGCTTTGTCTCCTTTTCCTATGCTCATTTTCCACTTCAAGATGAAGTCTCCCCCCACACTTTTATTCTTGTGTACATATTTAAAAAGGTACATTAAATCCTTCCTGAAACAAATTAAGTCATAACATCAACAAATCAAACTGAAGCATAAATTAATCTTCAGGGTTTTTTCCTATAAATGCCAGGGTGAAAAATATGTGTCTTTCCCCTCCTATCTTGTGTCTTAAGTATAAATCTGCCAGCTTAAATAGAGAGGTAAGAAATCACTGGACAAAAAACTATAGTTTAAAAAATACCAGTAATTCCAATGACTGTAGTTGAGTTATTTACTAAGAAGCATATAAATGTAAAGTTTCAAATGGTGAAAATCCTCTGTAATCTATAATGAGGAGGAATTCTACTTAGTAAAATATAAGGTCAAAAGAAAATAATGTTTAAAATAGACAATTCATTTTCAGGAAACTCAAAACACAAAATATGCTTAAATTTATATTAAAAATATGAGTCTGCAGTGTAAGTCAGGATTTTATAGCACCTTGGGATGACTATAAACATTATATTACAACATATAGTATACTGCAGATTTAATGCATATCAAATTTAACATTATGGATTAACATGTCATATTAACTAAGTAAATCCTAAGATTTAAAATCTAAAACCTAATAAATACTCAAGTATTTTAAAGTCACTCTAAGTGGCATATTTGTTGCTCAATTTAAGTTTTTGTAGGTTCCTCATCTGGGACAATGGGACAAAATGAAATAATAAGAAATAAAACAAATGTAAACAAATCTTTAAATCTAGATACTAGTTATCTAAAGAAAATATAGATCTGGGGGAAAAATTAGTAAAGAAAGATAAAAATTGACAATTCCTTGATGGGCCTTTATTTATTTATATGTGGTGCTGACACTCAAACCCAGTGCCTCACACATGCTAGGCAAGCACTCTACCACTGAGTCACAATCCCAGCCTCCAATTTTTCTTAATGTAAGCCTTCCACATTGGGATGACTCTGAAAATAATCACTGCAAAAAAAAAAAAAATCCTATTTTTATCATTCCTGTATTTTCTTCTTCAAGAAGACTGTCAATAATTATCAGTTCACTTCTACACTCTTCCACATAGCCAAACAATTAAAAAATGTTATCAAAATATAAAGCAGTATTCGAGGAACAGGAAAGACTGAAAAAAGGAAAAAATCCTCTTAAATTACATTCAATTAAATCTGTTAAGTTTAAATTAGCAAGGCAATTCTAGAGAGAGAAAGAGAAAGAGAGAAAGAGACAACCCTTGGCCTTAAACTCACCTGTAAACAAAAAACAAAATATCCACTAACACTCTGTTCTGCAATGACATCTTCCATTGTCCGCAGGGTGGTACCCAAGTAAGAATTCAGAAGCTGGGTAGGAAGCAGTCCAACTGAAGATGCCATCAGATAGTTGGGTAATGAGAGATCAGTAATCTAGAAGTAAAGGGAATGATTTGTTACCAAGTAAAATAACATAAAAAAGTGTGTCGAAGTATTTACTAGTGGATTTCTTGGCATGGAGAGAACTGAAATACTTATAAAGCATCTTGATTTTTAAAAATGATTATCAAGGGAATGTATACAGAATGCAGTTTAAAATGAAATAAAAGTTCAAACAAAATTTTAACATTCTATTATTCTATCACTAAAGGAGAACATCTGTGACTATTTTATCCTCATATGTAAATAAAATCCACACACAGATCAATTTGTCAGAAGTCTTGTTAAGATTTCCTCATGTCATTAAATATTCATAAGCATTCTTACATGGCAGTGTGGCTGCTGGCCCTGAAGCCAGATAACCCTAGAATGGCATTTCAATGTTGAGAACTCAATGAGCTACTCTGTCTTTATGACTTTTCATCTGTAAAATAAAAATAATTATCCTTAGATGCAGAAAAATTTCATTGCTTTCTTATTTCTTTGTGTCTATGTATGGAATTGTTCTCTTGCTACTATTTATAAAACCCAACAAAACTGAAGCAAAAACCTTTGTTTATTGACCTGTGTGGAAGGCAGCATCTAAAATATTCCAACGATTCAATTTCCTGGTTTTCATGCCCTGTGAGATTCCTTACCCTGGAGTGTGGGTTGGACTGACTGCTTACTTCTTAGCAGACTATAGCAGAAGTGACAACATGTTACTTCCAAGATTAAATTGCAAGAACAGGATTTCCATCTCTTTCTTGAGCAGGTCAGCTGCCACACTGTAAGTAGCTCTATGGAGGTCCACATGGAAAGGAACTCATTCCTTCAGCCAGCAGCTAGCAATGACCTGAGGTGTCTGCCAACAGCCACACAAGTGAGGATGGAATTAAACTAAGTTAATCAAGTCTTAAGATGCCTGCAGCCCTGGCCAACACCTTCACTGCAGAATTGTGAGGAAGTCACAGGTCCCTACTAAACTACATAGGAATTCCTGATCACACAAATTGTGACACAATAAATGTTTTAAATCTTGAAGTAATCTGTTACATGGCAAAATAAATGACTAATACATTAGACATCTCAAGTTATTTTAGGATAGCTCACTAGGAGTAGAATTACTAATTCAAACAGTAAAAACTTTCTGCTGTGTATCCAAATGTTCATAGTAATTCACATATATTTCAGTAATAACATGAGTATGCCCATCACACTCTTATTAACTTATTAAAATTCAACATATTTCTGTTTAATACAGTAAAAATGTTTCATCATTATTTAATCTGTACTATATTCATTTAAAGTGATGTGAGTTTTCTATATTAATTTTTCTTTTTTTTTCTTTTCTTTTTTTTTTAATTTTTTATTGTTGGTTGTTCAAAACATTACAAATTTCTTGACATATCATATTCCACACTTTGATTCAAGTGAGTTATGAATTATAGCTTTATTTGTTCACATTTGCCCTTTTTTTCTTGAAATGTTAAGTGTTTTTGTTATTCATAAGAGCTCTTTGTAGTAAGGATAATCTTTGGTCTACTATATGAGCATATATTTTACCCTAAAGCCTGTCAGTCTGTGTGCCCTCCTTTTTTTTTTAACTGTCCCCCTTTCTTTCTTCCATTCATTCATTCATTCATTCATTCATTTAGGGTCTTGCTAAATTGCCCAGGCCAGCCTCAAGCTACTGGGCTGAAGAGATCCTACTGTCTGGTTCCTCTTTATGTTTTGATACAAAGTTTCCAAATGCCCATATAATCAAATACCATCATCTTTTCCTCCAATTTTTCCACTGCTTTTAGTTTACTTTTTTTTTTAGATCCTATTAGTTTTTATCTTCTTTTTTCTGATTGTTTTATTTTCTAATACTTAATACTAAATTCTTCTGGAGATTATTCATTAGGATACAGCCTATTATTCATCCCTTCCATATGTATAGTCAATTTTCTTAGCATTACATATTAGATAATCAGTAGCTTCTCCTTTATGATATATGTTATAAACAGCTATTGTATATATAAAAGGGCCCATTAGGGGCTCTATTACCGACAATCCATATTTTAAATCTCATATTGCAACCAAAATTGTAGCAAGGACTATCAGTTCATATTTGGCAAGAAATGTCCAACTCCATTCAAGCCACTTCATTGCTCTTATTTTAAAAATTGCCATTACTGTTCTTACTACTTATTCTCAACAGATCATTCTGTCATTCAAAAAGAAAAATAAATAGTAAATTATCAGGATTAGGTAAACTTAAAAATAATCTGGATAGAACTGGAATATCCACAATTTTCAGTCTTCTTATCCAGAAATGTTTCTAAATTTCTTAAACTGTTCTTTGCTAAACTGTTGTTTACTAAATTTTGTGGTTTTTTTACTTAAATATATCATGCATTTCCTTAAGCATTTCATGTTATTATTGTTACCACTCTTACTGACCTTAAGAATAGTTTCTCTATACCTGCATCTGTAGATTACTGGTATGTAAAAAAGGTATTGACTACATTATTTACTTTTTTTAACTGCTTTTAAGATCCAGTATTTTAATCAGCAATACATTACTCTATAACTACAATCTAATAAAATAATCATGTAATCATAATTTCACTAAAGTTACATTCATTTCTATAGATGGCACACTAGAGATGTACCACTGCCAGTCTAGAAAAAATATTTCAGCAACAGGTTGTTAACAATTCACATTATCAATCACTGACTCAGTATCTATCCATAAAATTTTCTAATAGGTGCTGGAAAGAGACAGAAAGCAGGACATAATACCCACCCTTGAAGGATTTACATACTGACAAGCGCACACCAAACACCTTAGAAAAAAACAGAAAGGGAGCCTTTGGAAGACTGTACACAGCATTCAACAGTAGAAAGCTGGGTGCAGGGGCACATGCCTAGAGTCCCAATTACTTGGGAGGCTGAGGCAGGAGGATTGCTTAAAACTTCAAAAAGTTTTAAGAAAGTCTGGGGATATCACTAAGTGGTAGAGCATTTGCCTAAGCATGTGCAAGACCTAGGGTTCAACACCTATCTCTCTTTCTCTCTCTCTCTCTCTCTCACACACACACACACACACACACACAAAAGAGTGAGGAGTACAGAGGAATTAAAATCAGATGCAGGAGTAGAGATCAAAGGGCAATTTTGCGGCAAAAGAAGCCTTCAGAACAGGCACCAGAAAGCTACACATGGGTTTGGCAAGCAAAGACAAGAGGAAGAAGGGAGGTGTTTTAGGAAGAAAATGAGCAAAGACAATTTGGCAGGGTAGGCACAGGATGTACTAATGAAGTTCGCAGTACATTTTGGATTATTTAAGGCACAAACAAAAGAATACTGAAAAATAAAGATGGGAAAAGTAACTGGGTGATACTTGTTAGGAGCTTGAAAAAAGAGGAGTAAGCCTCTGTGCAGAGGTGAGTTTACTTACAGGAGGAGAAAATTTTCTTTAGAACAAAATGTCATAAATGTATGAAATGAGTAATTAAGACAAAAGTGAATCATAAAAATTACTATGTTGTAGTTAATAATAAAGCATCACACATTATGAAAATTATCTTCAAAATTAAAGCTACATTACAAAATATCAGAATGCAAAGTTTCAGTCCTTAGCTTTAAATGTAATGACGTTTCTCTAAATAGAATATGTAACTGACATTCAGGGATGACATCAATAATATTCAAATGGGAATATTAAAATTGGATTTCATAAATCTGAAACAACTCTCAATTCTTTAACAATAATGTTGTCCAATGCATAAAAGTGGTCAAATTAATCCTAAAGAGAAAGTATTATTATTTATAACATACTTCCCTTCTGTCAAGTTGAAATACCTAAAAGAAAGCAAAAACCCAGTTTTAATCTTTGTAAGCAGTTCTACTAGAGTGTTCAATGATTTAACTAGTATAACAATGCAATAATATACAGTTTTTAAACTATTAACAACTTGATTAACATAAAGATTATAAATGATTTCAATTTAGCACTTCCTTTAAGTCAAAATCCTACTCAGAACCTTCACTCAGCTCCATAATTTAGAATGCTTGTTCCCACGCAGAGATTTAATCCAACCCTCTCTCCCCAGTAAGCCCTCACCAACCAAACTTTAAATTTCTATCTCCTAGTTTTACTGTCCATAAAGACATTAAAATGAACCTCAGGCCATCCTACTGAAATTCCTAAGTATCCTAGGATCTCAGCTCAGAACTTGTCTTCCAAATCCAAACACCCTGTAGAAATCTCAGCCTAGGATATGAATGTCATTCTGTTGGTTAGTTACTGTAATAGATAATGAGTTTCAGGGATGGCAAACATCATCTGATTATATTTACCCTTATTCCCAGAGGTTCTCAACTTCACTTGAGTCAGTAGGGGTTAATGTAAAATAGTCCTCCATTTCTTGAAACAAAATAGTACCAATCTGGAGTACATGGAGAGGAATAAAAAGCCTTAAATCTGAAGAGCAAGAATTGATTGACCACCACCGAACAGGTCATTTTTCAAGCTGACTATAAAAGAACCTCTAGATTTATCATTCAGACACAGCACAAAGTACAGATCCCAGGTCCTCTCAGACACAGCACAAAGTAGAGTTCCCAAGCAGCCCTGCAGTTCCTCATTTTCTAAGTTTACTTCTATTTACTTCTATTTACTGGCTTTAATTTAATCCATGAAGAAACTATCGTTTTTTACATAAACTACATCAAAGGATGCAATGATGAATTTAAAGGCAATCCACGTTCAAAAAACCCTCAAATTTTATCCATAACTGTGAATTAAATATTATTCTTGTCAAATTATACCTTCCTACATAGGTTATGTTTCTAGGTTTATATATTTGGGTTTTTTGGGGGGGACTGGCATTTGAACTCAGAAGTGCTTTACCACAGAGCTACATCCTCAGTCCTTTTTATATTTGAGACAGGGTCTTGCTAATTTGCTGAGTCTGGACATCAACTTGTAATTCTCTTGCCTCAGCCTCCCAAATTGCTGGGAT